CCCTTCCCTTCCCGCACCTTCCCTTCCCTTCCCTTCCCGCACCTTCCCTTCCCGCACCTTCCCTTCCCGCACCTTCCCTTCCCGCACCTTCCCTTCCCGCACCTTCCCTTCCCTTCCCTTCCCTTCCTTCCCTTCCCTTCCCTTTCCCTCTCTCTTTCCCTCTTTCTCTCTCACCAAGTAGGATTCTGAACCCATGGAGTCCCAGCAATTTGAACAAAGCTGTTGATGAAATTCAGAGCAGGTGCTGATGAGCAGGGGGAAGAGCAGGAGGGAGGAAAAAAGTTCTTGGCATTTTTTTGGAAACTGTTTTTTCATGGAACGTCAATGACTTTCTGGAGCATTTTCGAAACTGAGGTAAAGGCATTGTAATAAAACTTCCCAAATAAAGTTTGAAGTGTAAACAAGCTGAAATGTAGAGTGTGAAGCCTGCAGAAGCTGTATTTTGGGAGTACACTGTGCTGCCCCAGCAGAGTGAGTGCTGTTAAGGAATCTGTGTCATTCAATGAGTGACAATCCACCCTGATGGGAGGTTCTGCTCTGATGCATTTACACAAGCCATGCAGTAAATTATGTGAGCAGTGTTTCTCCAAATACTATTTGACAATTCTGCTCAAAGATAGTTGGCTAATTTGCTTACAGAGCCAAGACTTGCTTTGAGTTTATTAATTTTTCCCTTTGTGTTAAGCTTCCAAGTTCATTTAGCAATGAGAGTTTGCAGAAAAGGAGTGACATCCATGTAAGCTCCCTGCACTTTGCCAGGCTCATTTCTCCAAATTCTGTGTGCCAGCTCAGGAGCAATAATATCAAGTGACTTCAAAGGACAACTGCTCCCAACAATCCACAAAGGCTTGTATTTCAACTCCTTAACCAGCACAGCTCACCAGACCTGTTATTTCAAGGCCTCTGCTGCTCTTTTCATGTATTGAGCTACATTCCCAGCTCAGAGCACATGAAAAGGGGAAAAAAATCCCAAAGTGGTGCAGAACCTGGGAGGGAGGGCGATTTCTGCACATATCTCTCCAGACACAGGAACACAGATTATTTTTAAAGTGAACCTGGAACATATGTTTCATGCAAGGAGTCAACAAGAAAGCTCAGTGATGTGTTTTCCTTTTCTCACACCCACCTACCTGCTTCCCTCCTTTGGCTGTATCTTGTCTGAAATCCTCACTGTAGGTTCTTTGGAAAAGGATCCATCACCATGAAGCAGCCAGACTGATTTTGTGTCTACATGCTGGTTTGGAGGCTATGGCAATAATTAATAGGTCATTCATTTGAATGTGGTGTTCATTACAGTAAATGTATTTTCCTCCCCTCTTGAAGGCATCAAACGATATCCCCACAAAGTGCTTATTCAAACTGGCAGATCTCTTACACAGGCTAAGAACCAGAAATATATCAAATTCAACACAGAGCTTTCATTCTGGTAATATTGCTTGATTTGGGGTTTTTGAAACAAGGTCAAGGCTAAGAGCTGCGCTGTTTGGCTTATTTTGGGTTTAATATAGGTGAGTGGAATTGATGTCAAAGAAGTTTCAGCTCCAGCCTCAGTTTTCCACTCTCCAAACCTTCACTTAGGCTGTGAGTGGAGGATATTTACAGCCTGAAGGAAGTTTTTGCCAGCATGCAAGTCAGCATAAAACAGTGCCCATTGCTGAAAGGATCAGTTCCATTTTCCAAGGGCCTTCAATTCCTCATTTTTACCACCCTACCTTGTCGTTGCCAAAAACATTTTGCACTGAGCCCCATCAGGACCTCACCTAAATTAAAGTTCATCTCTTTTTTCACTGCCTGGTCCCAGGAACTCCTGCAGAGGCACAACAGAAAGCGTTGTGTAGGGTCAGAAAAAGCTTGGCCAAGGGCAGCAGAAACACAGGACCTGCGTGCTTTGCAGTGCTTGTTTAAAGGGTACCTCAAACTAAGGCCTGCTGCTACTCTGATTTATATCTCCTGGACAAAACTTTTGATTTCTGCAGCTATGGACTGGGAAAAGCCTGGTGGCCTCAGCCCACGAGGATTCCTTAGAGCAGCAGGCTGTTGAATAAATAGGGCAAGCTGATATTATACACGATTCACAGAAATTGCAGTGCTTTTAGGTTTTTATTTAACTCATGGCCTGTATCTGTCTTAGAAAGAAAGAAAGATTAGGTTGGAATTGACTCTGAAAGATAGAAAAGTATTGAAACATCCCCAAAGCCTGGGTTTGTTGGGTCCTTCACCTCTCTCTCCGTGGCTCTGGAAGGTGGATTTCCACCACGGTGTTGGTCAGGGGTTTTTCTGCTGCTGTCTCCCTCTCCCATTCTGTCTGAACTGCAAAGGAGATAAAAATCCTGCCCTTCTACCTGTGACTCTGAGTCAGCTCACCTAACCCTTGGCTACATGCCCAGCAAAACCCCAGAGCCAAATTCCCTGACAAGCATCCTGTGGCTTCCCTCTGAGTGAGGATGTGCAAGCCCAGAAGGGAAGGGAGAAGCGCCTGGTCCAACGCAAACAGTGGTTTCCTCTTCTCTACTGATGTTTTAATAATGCTTTGAGAGCAACAGGGATTTGTGAGGATGCTGGAGTTCAGTCTGTGAGCCTCTTGCACTTGTAGCTGTTTAAACAGCCAATAAATTTACCCAATTTCACCTGCACAGTGTAAGAACTCCAATAGGTGCTCCTAAGAATTCACTCTAGCCACGGGGGAGCCAAGAGCAAGCATCACACGGTGCCACAAGCATGGCCCTGAGCAGCCTAAGGCAAGAGCGGGTTTGTCCTGGTTTTATGGATTTTCCTAGCTGAGGATGAGTAGGCAGAGTCTGCTTTACAACTTGGAACTGCCTGCCTTGCCTCAGCTCTGGCTCCACAGACTGCCTGATGCCTCTGTCAGCAGCACGGGGATGTGCAGCCTTTATCTGCTCTTTGCCTGCTCGGTGTGGCAATGGGAGAGCTGAGGCAAAGGCAGCTCGGGTTTATTGCCCACACCGGTCCCCGGGGAAGCTGCAGGCAGGTCCTTGCACCACCCACCCATCCCATCCACGCTGCAGAGGCAGGGCAGCAGCGGGTCCCCCCTGCCCCCCAGCTCTGCTCCCAGGAAAATCCAAATTCCTCACTCTGGACGTGTGCTGATGCCTCTAAATCCACTGCTGCTGCTGGCACCTGAAGGTCCCTGTGCCAGCAGAAAGAGAAGGGATGAGGGACATCCCTTGGTGAATCTTTCTACTTGCTTTGCACACAAAGTGACACCACAGAATCCCAGTCCTGGCCCGATTTTTAAATCACACTCAATTGGGAACACTTGTTCAGCTTTATTAAGAGTTTTATTAGCTCTAAAAATAGGTTCTTAAATATTTTCCAAGGTTGACTAAAATATGAAAAAACAATTATATAATCAGCATTTAAAATAAACCGCAGTTTGTTACAACTGAGACCCATTCAGTGGAGTAACATTTATCAAGAGTCATAGCATACAGAAAATTGTACAGCCTCTGCAAATCCACAGACAGCATTTGTCTGCTTGCTTTCAAACTGAGCAGCTCCTGAACCTAATTTTCTGATGTCCATCAGAATTCTCACCAACAGGAACACTGCAAGAGTGGAACACGGTCTTTGGGTGAGAAGGCTGCGAGGTTTTTCATGAAAATAAAGAACTGGTCTATCAGTGAAACCCTTTTTTTTAATATATATATATAATTTCTTACTGTTAAATGAAAACTTTTATAAATAATCTTACATAAATAATAATCTCAGAAGTTTTAAAAAGTTCACACCATCAGTCGGACCTGACTCAACATTCTCTGGTCTCTCACCGCTTAAACTATTCCTGCAATTACTCTGGAATACAAAAATCCTTAATGTCTCTTACTGCAAGAGCAGATCATATATTTTGGGCAAGAGTTAAGCTGCAGAGGAAGATTTGGCAGTTAAGTGAAATGCATGTTACAGCTGATGGCTGCTTTTTTGTTTTATTGGAATAACTGAAAAGAATTAAGCTGTAGTGCAGGTAGGGCTTGAGTCATGCTTTTATCGTTGCATCTCTTGGCCTGGTATGAACTATGTTATTAAAAACGGTAGCTCAAGCTGATTCTGTACCTTGTTTATCTACAACCAAGCTCAGCCAAAGATCAGCCAGCCTAGTGAAAAAAGTGTAGTTGAAGGCTGTGTACAAACAGGCACCGCTAATTGCCCTCCACGACCGTCAATCGACTACAGACACCGATTTCTCAGCTCGCCTTTAAACAAAGCACTCTTATCTATGCATAAGGAAAAGCACTACGCCGAGCAGAGTTAATACGTGTTAACCTATATCTTGATTTAGTTTGTTCTTTAGAAAAAGAGAGAAAAGGAAGTGATTTATCACCCCTTTTCGTTGCCAAAAGGAACTGCAGTGTAGGGTCCAAAAGCTGGAGATGCCGCTGTCAGTAGGACTGACGCCTCTTTTCCCCCGGAGTGTTTAAGTGGTCAGCGGCTTTGGTGTCGCGACTTTTTGCCTGTAAAGGAGCCGGGTGTGTTTGTGACGGCCACTAGAGCCCGGTGGTGCCCACCAGAAGCCACCATCCGACCCTGCCATGGCGAGAACCCCTTCGGGAGATGCTGATCCCCGCTCGGGAGCGCGTCCCGGCCCTTCGCTCCTGAAGAGCTTCCCCGGAGCAGCCTCGGACTACAGCGGGGAGATCGCGGGCAGCCGGGGGATTAAAAGGCCCGGCAAGAAAAGCTTCGGACGAGGCAGGATTTAAGGAGCGAGCAACCCCAGACGTGAACGAAACACAAACACGCTGCGGGTTTTCTCTTCCTTAGATAAAAGCACCGGCGAGCCAGCCTAAACGCTGCCCGCGGACGACTAGTCGGAACAAGTTCAAACTCCAGAGCTCGAATTAAAATGTTTCCTCTGTGCGAGCGCCTGCCTCCCGCTCCGGGAGCTCCCCCCCTGCCCCGGCGGCCCCGCTCCCCCCGGGCTGGCCGCGGAGCCCGGCGGCTACACCAGCGACTCGCACACGGGCAGCGAGTCCGAGTCCTGGCTGTGCATGGAGCTCAGCCCCGTGTCCGAGTCCTCGTCGTTGTCGGCTCGGTCCTTGCGCAGCGCCCGTGCCTGCTCCATCCATCCTGCCCCCGGCGGCCGCCCCCCGCCCGCCGCCCCGCGGGGCTCCGCCGGAGCCTCCGCCACGTCCAGGGTGCCCAGCGTCTCCAGCAGGCGCTGCAGCTCCCGCTCCTTGTCCTCCCACGCCCGCTGCGTGCAGTCCAGGTCGCTCTTGACGGCCTCCAGGTCGGTGCTCAGCTTGAGGCCGATGTAGAGGCTGGTGCTTAGCTGGGTCTTGACCCGCTCGTGTTCCAGCTGCAGCTCGCCCTCGCCGCCGCCGCCGCTCAGCTCCGTGGTGTCGCAGTCCGTGTCGGCCAGCCCGGGCCCCGCCGCCAGCTCCAGCTCCTCCCGCCGCCGCTTCATCCAGCGCTCGTTGAGCTCCTCCTGGATCTCGGCGGCCAGGTGCTCCAGCAGCTCCTCCTGCTGCGCCCGCTGCTCCTGCAGCTGCAGCACCTCCTCGCACTTCCTGGCGTAGTTCTCCTCCTCCTCCTCCTCCTGCTGCTGCTGCTGCTGCTCCTCGGGCTGCCCGGGCTCCCGGCCCGGCTCGGGCTCGCCGCCCGTGCCCACCAGGTAGGTGTCCTGCACGTAGTTGACGCCGTGCCGCTTCATGCGGTCCAGGTGGATCTTAGCCTCGTACCTGTCGATCTCTCGGTCCAGCTCGCGGAGCCGCTGGATCTGCTGTCGGATGGTGTGGTCCTGCGAGAGCACCAGGTGCACCAGCGTCTCCATCCTCTCCGCCGACGAGGCCTCCCGGGCCAGCGGCTGCTGCCGCTTCTTGTTGATCTTGGCCAGTTTGCGGAAGGCTTTCCGCACCACCCGCCGCTGCCGCTCCTGCGTGAGCGCCAGGCTGGCCCGGGCCGCCCCCAGCCCGCGACCGGGGCGCTCCCGGCTCAGCACCACCCGCGCCTCGGCGCTGCGCGGCCCCGCGTTGGGCAGCGAAGCCTCGCTGCGCACCAGCACGAAGCGCACGTTCTCCTGCTCGTCCCCCCACGCCACCCAGAGCCGCAGGATCTTCGTCTTGTTGGGCAGGATCCTCTCGAAGCCGCGCCACTTCTCCACGATGCAGTAGGAGTGCGGCGGCCCCGACAGCATCCCGCCGGCCGGCTCGGGCGGCGCCGGGCGCTGCCGCCGGTGGTGGCTGTCCTCCAGCAGCACCCGCACCACGTCCGAGCAGGTGGTCCGCCGGGAGAGCCCGGAGATCAGCTTCTCCTCCTGGCAGATCCACACCGAGATCTTCCGCTCCTCGGGCTCCATCGGGGGCGGCTGCGGGCTCGGGGCCGCGGGCTCAGGGCCGGCCGGGCAGCCGCTCCATGGGGAGCGCTCTCTCGGAGGCGCTGCCCGCCCGGCTTCAGCGCGGCCGGGATGCCTTGGCGTCCCCTCCCAGCCCTCGGCACCCCGCCCGTGCGCTCCGCCGGCCGCTCCACCCCTTCCTGCCCGGTGCGCCGGGAGCCGCCGGGGCGGGGGGCCCGCCCGGGGCGCCGGGAGCCGCAGCTGTCCCCCCGGGGTCCTCTGCAGTCCCGCCGGGGTGCTCTGTCCCACCCGGGTTCTCTGTCCCACTGGGGTGCTCTGTCCCACCGGGGTGCTCTGTCCCACTGGGGTTCGCTGTCCCCGCCGCTCTCGCCCCGCAGCCCCCGCACAGACACTTCGGGACAAGTCGCCGTCTCCTTTCTCCGTGTGGTCCCTTCTCCGTGTGGTCCCTTCTCCGTGTCCTCCCTTCTCCGTGTCCTCCCTTCTCCGAGCCCTCCGAGCGAGCGGCGTCGGGGATCTTCCAAAGTGCCGAGGGACAGGAGCGAATCCCGGAGCTTCAAAGGGAAAGCCAGAACTAGTGAGGAATTTCCAGTTTTAGTAAATCATCCGCCTGTAATTAGGAAATTCATGTTTGTGGAGCGCTTCGCAGATGAAATATGCAAAGGACGGGAATGGCTAAGTGTTATTAAAATACTAGCTGAGCCAGATTTTAATGGGAGCTTGCTGTGTACTTTGATGGGAACGGGATCGGTCTCGGAGTGCGGATTAAAATGAGAAGATGTGAAAAACGGTAATAAAACGCAGGGTTGTGGCGCTGATCTTCACTGGTTGCGTCACGGGGCTCACGGACCTGGGCTTTTCTAAGTGAATAAAGAAGTACTACAATGGGCGAAGAAAGAAAACTCTCTCAAACCTGCAGGCTGAGCTGTACCTTCCGAGGGAGCTTTAGCTCCGATAAAATCGGTGTGCCCTGTGGAGAGGGCTTTTGCCGGGATGAGGTTTGTGTTCCGGGACAGAGCCGAGCATTGCAGCCTGCCTCCTGTCACCGCTGTTGGAACAGGGAGGGAGCGATTCCTTAGCCCAGCGCTTTTCCCCTAAAGTACCAGGCTCGGTGTGTGCCCGTGCCAGCTTCTCCCCTGTTTCCACGGAAGGGCCGGTCCTGGGGAAGAAGAAAGCCTGTCCGGCTCTGGAATTAGGCTAATTAGGGCTGTGGTTTGTGATGTGCAGCCTCCTGGGGAAGTGGTCTGAGGGACCACCGGCTGGCAGCATTCCTGCGGCTGGAGATCACCGGGATGGAGCTCCTGCTGCCAGCGTGCTGTCCTGTATCCCTCAGGTTAAAGGATTGCAGAGGCAGCTGGCCACCGCGTGTTGCAATAAGGGCACGCAAGATCGGGGTGAAGGTAACAAATCAGGATTTGCTTCCTGACCACAGCCGCCTCACGTCAAAGCTGCAAATTCCTGTCCAAGGGCAAAGCCAGGCACTGTCTGTTCCAAGGGCCAGGATGGCTGTGCTTGGTGCAGAGGAAGGTGTTTGCTGATGGCAGGTTATCCCCAAGCTGTGGGCACGGGGTTGGTCGTGTCTGGAAGCATCATCCACCCCGGCTCACAGGGAGGGGGCTCCAGCAGTGGAAAAGTCCTGGAAGGGAGCAAAACGAGCTTACCGAAGGGGGTGGTCAGGACTCTGGGCCACCCCTGACAGCTCACACTGCCCCAGAATAATAGGGTGTTGAACAGGAAGGGGATGTGAAACACGACACCGTGATTCAGCTTTGACTCTGGCAGGTTTCAGGATTTTTTTTAAAAAACCTTCAGGAGAGGAGAAGATGCCTTGTTGCTTTCATCAGGCTGGTAGAAAAGTTGGAAAAACAGACCATTCCTTGCTGTCTTCTGAAGAATCAGGTGCCACAAAGGCATTAATGAGGCAGTGAGAAACTGTCCAGCTCCTTCACTGGTGGTTCCTTGCCTTTGCTATTTAGTTTTGATCTTGTTTTCCATGTGTTTCCTATGAGAATGTCTGTGCCTATTTTCTTTTGGCAAAGAACAGTACAGGAAGAGCAGGTTGTGATGTGAAGAGGCATCTCATGCTCCCCACAGGTCAAGCTGCTCCAACTCGTCTGACTGCCTGTATCTCTCCGGTATCCAAGCCTGGCTTTGTGCAATGGAATTGGAAGATGATCATTCCATCTTTCCTCGACCACATCTCTGCCTATGGAAACTGGCTCTGCCTCCCCAGTGATGCTCCCAAGGCAGCATTGCCCCAGAGAGGATGAAGATGCTGGCAGTTTGGTTGGAAGCAGTAAGAGTACCAATTAAGATTAAGAAGGCAAACACTTGATTTTGGCAGGATATACCTATTAGATGTGTGTGTGTATGATCCGTGGTTAAAAACATGTCATTCAAAATTCACGTTGCTGCATCTCAGGTTTAACCCCCAGGAATTTGGGTTTAGTCTGTCTGCAAACTCAGGAAACTGCTGGCAAAGCTTCAAAAGTTTGAAGTGCTGTATCTGAAGCAAAGTTTGGGCCCTGCTGTGTTGAATCCCAAAAGGCAACCGAATGCAGGCCACCTTTTACCTTTGCTCCCAGGACCTTAAAGCATCCTGCAGAGGAAGGAGGTGCTCTTATCTAGTTTTAAAGATAAGAATGCTCTGGCATCAAGGAATCGAGTGCCTTGCCCAGGGTTGTACAGCAAGGCAGTGGCAGTGTCAGGAAGCAAATCAGGTTCCTTCACCCTGGCACCATGAGTCACTGAACTCCATCCTCTCCTTCTCTCCTTCTTTTAAGTATTCCATGAGAAAGGGAGATGAGGAGGAATGAAAATGAAAAGTTCAAGTCCAGGTATAAACTGGTTTATTTTTATGAACAGGAGAATTACAAGGCCAAGTGATGAGAAATCAGATATATTTTGGCATTTCACATGAAGTTCTTTCTATTCTTTCCTTTCATTGAAGTGTGCAAATAAACTACCAAGTCTTTTGTAATAGGAACAGCATTCCTATTAGGGGGTTGGATAGCAAGGTGTCTCTTTTGTTTTTAGGTTTCTTTTCATTTGAGCTGAACTATCAGAATGAAATTGCAACCCTGATATTTTTAAAAAATAAAATGATGCAAGACCTTATCTTGAATTCTTTGAAACTAAACCAAATAAATACAAATATATTTTCTGCTTCCATTATCCATATAGCAGGAACGAAGAGGAAATCTTAGAACACTCGGTTTGAGACACAGAATTAATTTCTTTCAAATGCATTTAAATGGAGAAAGTGTACAGATTCACATTCAGGGTACTTCTCTTTTTTCCACAGTGAAGTTGCTTTTACTTTTTAGATCAGTCTCAGGACAATTTACTTATTTTTCCTGGGGATACAGTTCAAAAGAATACAGCCTAGGTGGATGAGCGAAGGCAGGCTGGAACTGGTAATCTTTTGAGCCATCACTGTCTGGAGAAGCTGCTCTTTGTTGTGATGCTGAGCTTTCCCAGCTCCCCTTCCTGTGCTCCTGTAAACCTCATTTTGTGAGGTTTAGCTCTTTTATTTGTTGATTTCTAACATTTTGCCCCAGCAAAGATGGATGAAGTCCCGGGACAGGATCTGACTGGGAGTGTTACAAACTTCTGCAGTGGTTGCTGACCTTTACAGATCAATCAGCAGGGAGGAGGCCACTTGAACTTCCAGGTCACTCTCTCACGGGTGCTCTTCTCTTTTGCACCCAGTTTTTCCTGATGTATAAAGCTGAATAACCAAATCATGCTGTGAATAACCAAATCATCCCTAGTTAGCATGCACGGAATGAAACACTTGAAAAACTACCCCTGTGTTAGCAGCAGCATGCAGACTCCAGTCAAAACAGTTTGTAGTCTTGTTCAGTTTGTATCTGAGCAGCTTTGGACAGGAGAGGGCTTTTTACTTTCAGCTGTTGTGTTGAAGACAAGGAAGGAGCTGGCACTTTTTGTTGCAGATGAGTTGTAAGAGGTGTAATGGACTGCTGAAGAGCTGTAAGCAATAATCTCTGTGACCTCTTGGCCTGTTTCCTTCAGCTCCTGGTGCTGTCCTGCTTCTGATCGCCACCTGAGCAACCAGTACAGGTGACACACCTGGAAATCTGGAGCCATGCCTGGTGATGCCTCCATCCTCAGCAGATCCATTTGGGAAGACTGCAGTGTGGCCTGTTTGTGTGATGGCAGCCAACACTGGGTTATCTTGCTTTGGCTGCTCCATCCAACTTCTTCTTCTTTCATGTGCACACACCCCGAGTACAAACAGGTATGGCAGAAGGAAACTCTCTCCAGTGAAATCAGTGGGGGCTGCGTGGGTAAATCCCTCTGCAGTGCTTCCAAAGGGCAGGCACATCTATAGACTGCCATTAAAGAAAATTGCCAAGACATATATTTATCTTAAAGGGCAGCCTGGCAGTCTTGATGTGCTAGCTGTGATGTAAATGCATGGGAGGAGACCATCCCTGCCTTGAGGGCTCAGCCAATGTCACGCAGCAGCGTGGGGGCACGGCAGAGTCAGTGCTAAAATCACAGATTTCCAGCTTCTCATCTCTGAACAGAATCTTTAGCAGTTTGGGTTTGTTTCTTTGTTGTATATGATCTTAGGACAGAGAAGAATCCTTCTTCCTTCACACCTTTTTTTTTTTTATAAAAATGAAGAGGACAGAAATGGTTGAACGGAGCAGAAAACATTTTTCCTTCTCATGTGCATAATAGAAACACAAAGCTTTGATCCTAAGTAAGTCAGCAGAGCTGCACAAGTAAGCTTTGGGGGGAAATACAAGAAAGATCAGACTCAAATGATGGCTACAACCTTCCTTTTAATTTCTTTGAAACAAAAAAGCCCCAAAGAGCTGGTTAATATTTAAGGACTGCCTCCCCAAAGCTCAGGCATGATGCATCCCAGCAAATCAAAAGTCAGGCAGAAATACCAGGACACCTGCTTGGATGGACAAGGAGCTCCTGGACAAACTCAAACGCCAAAAGGAAGCCTACAGAGGGCAGAAACAAGG